GCTCAGGAAGTAGACTGGTTCTGCATTCCATCATACAGCTCAGGAAGTAGACTGGTCCTGCTTTCCATCATACAGCTCAGGAAGTAGACTGGTCCTGTGTTCCATCATACAGCTCAGGAAGTAGACTGGTTCTGCATTCCATCATACAGCTCAGGAAGTAGACTGGTCCTGCTTTCCATCATACAGCTCAGGAAGTAGACTGGTCCTGTGCTTCATTGTAATGGCTCCTAGTAGTCTGTTTCAGAGCTTCAGATAAAATATCTTTTGTTCAGATGAATAAAATAAAGATGTTTGAACAACCGGAGAATTACCGTGTTGATATCAGCTCTGACAACTCCACAGTTCTCAACATTTATTTTCTGCATGAAGGACCGGCCTCTGCAGAGACTGGCCCCTGACCAGATTTTGTTGAGCTGATTAGTTTGTGTGTAATTGTTCCTCTGTCACCTCCTTTAACGCTCTAACTCGTAACGGACTCGTGTTGCAGAGCGGTACACACAGATTGTCTGACGTCAACAGTGCCATGTTGGAGCAGAAGTTTCTGGACAAGGAGGACGTGGTGGAGTTCACCGCCGGCCATCAGACCTACTCACTTAGCATACGAGGTAAAGAGACGCCAGAAACCATGACCGTCCTGTKCTGTCTGAAATCAAAAATAATTTATTTATTTATTTCCAGACATGATCCAAACAAACAAACGCTACTCAACAAAGAGGCTGGTCAGCAGACGACCTCGCTTCGTCTCCTCTGAAGACGCCAAGAAAGTCAAGTGAGGGTCGGAGATTCTGAGGGTCGTACCGAGACGGGTTTTTGTGTTTGCACTTTATTTTGTCCCTCTTGTGTCTCCGTCCTGACCTTCCTTCATTTTTATTTTGGCAGTTTGGTATAGTTTTAGTTTTTAAATTTTAGTTATGTTTTTCTCATTTTTAAGGTTTTTAGCAGTTTTTTTTTAGTTTGCGTTAGTTTTAGCTTTTAAATTTTGTTTTGCTAATTGTAGCCTTTAGCTACTGTTTTACCTAATTAAAGTATTTATCTTTACTTGTGCTAGTTTTGCTGATTTTAGCTTTAAGCTGCTGTGTTAAAGGCTTTAGCTACTATTACTTTTGAATGATCTAAAAATAGTTTCAACATAGCTAGTTTTAGCATTTAGCATAGATGTGTTATTTCAGCTTTTAGTTGTTTTAATTATTAGCTTTAGCTCATTACCTTTCTAATTTTAGCTGCAGTTTAGCTTTTTGTTATAATTAACTGTTTTTCTTGTTTTAGCTTTTAGCTACTGTTTCTCTCGTTTTAGCTATTTGTCCTGGTTTTGCTCATTTTAGCAGCTACAGTTTTCACATTTTTAGCTTTTACCTACAATTGTGATCATTTAAGGTTTTAGCTACTAGTTTTAGTTATTAGCTAAAGTTTGGCTAATTTAAACTTACAGTTCTGCAGTCTTAGCTTTTAGCTATGGTTTTGTTAATTTTAGGTTTAAGCTACCATTTTTCCAGTTTTAGCTTCTTCAACAAATTTCAGCAGAATAATTCAGCCTCATTTTCACAGAAAATCCTATATTTTTTAGTTTTTTTAATAAACCGTTTGGCTTAAACTAATTCAGATCTTTATTTTGCTGAACTCCGTCACAGTTAAACTGATCCTGAACTCTTTGTTTTTGCAGAAAGACCCCGAACTTCAGCGCGGTGCCGGACTGCTGGGACAGAACACAGATCCCTCAAACAGGATACTCGGTATTCTGACTTCACAGACGATTCTTTTAACAAGTCTCTTTTTCTTGTTTCTTCTCCAACACCAGAAACATGAAACAGTGTCGTTTTCATTTTTTTTCCTAGAAAGTCGCCGTGCCGCGAACTTCAGATGAATTTAAAAAGCTCCAAGCTCTTTTCACCTCAACCCTGCGAGCCGTCGAGATCATTCAGATTGAGAGGATTCAAAACAGAGCGCTCTGGGAAGTCTTTCAGTGGTACGTAACATCTAGTTGTTTCATCGACATCTTTGCCAGACAAAGCGACAAAGACCAATCAAACGTCTCTGATTTACAAAGTTGAAACTTTTTTGTCTTTTGATTTAAGGCAGAAGAAAGTGATGAAGACCAAGAACGGTGGAGCTGACGTGACAGAAAAACAACTCTTCCACGGGACGGACTCCAAACACGTGAACGCCATCTGCCTCAACAACTTCGACTGGAGGATCTGCGGGACTCACGGGACCGCCTTTGGTAAAGGTGAGTCAGAGACCTTAAATCTGGGCTGTGCAGTTCGTAAAATAAAACTTAATTCATCGTTGCACAAACAAATACTCCTTTTTTATTGTAATAAACACAGGAATCACTGGTTTTAAGCATTCAGAGTATGTGATGTATTAGCAGCTACTACCACACCAAATATTAGCTCAAAACCTGTGAAAATGACTGAGTTAAAGATATTTTGGTGTTTATTAAACTCATTTGTCGCGACCATCTTGAATGAAGTTGACTTCAGAAGTTTACTATTTATAGACGTACATCAGACTTTATATAAAATATTTAAAATACTTATAAAACAGTGTTTTTTATTTGATTAGTTTTGAGGAAAAATGACAATATATCTCGATATATCGTAACCCCTGAGACGTGGTATCTACGTACCWCCAAAGTCTTGCCAATACTAGTCCTTTGGTAGTTGAAGATGTTTATTTTTGGGAGTTTTGTTGATATCATTCAATGATAGTTACCTATTTGGAGACAGCATGATTCAAGATGGCCGCCACAGCTAATTGGCTTAAATAATATACCAGGTCACTTAGTCAGTTTGGTAGGGTAGTAGCTTACACTCAACCCTAACAAACACTGTTTGCCTAACAAATGATAGGCATTTTTTAGTTGTGGTTTTCAAGTGGTCTCCATGGATGTACAGTTTCTAGGACACCTTTGAATTGGTTTTGTTACTTGGTTCAACTTTTATGACATGTTTTCTTACTTTTTACCCAACTCCAGGTTCTTACTTTGCACGGGATGCCAAATACTCCAACAGTTACACTGATAACACCGACATCCGAAACATGTTCATCGCCAGGGTGCTGCTGGGGAGCTACACCAAAGGGGCGTCCGAATACGTCCGGCCTCCGTCCAAGGACGGCGGAGACGTAAACTTCTACGACAGCTGCGTGAACGACGTCGCCAACCCCTCCGTGTTCGTGGTGTTTGAGAAGCACCAGATCTATCCTGAGTACCTGGTGCAGTACAAAAACGCTGATCTGCTCGTCGACACGGTCAGCGTTGCGTCGGTACCGAAACCGAGGATAAATTCAGTGCTTAAAAATAGCACCGTCACCGKTTCGCCATCCATCAAGTCGAATAACTACCAACCTGGTGTTTCATCTTACCAATCCAGCACATCTTCATATAAACCTAGCATTTCAGCGTACCAACCCAGTACTTCGGCGTACCAATCCAGTACATCAGCATACCAATCCAGTACATCAGCATACCAATCCAGTACATCACCATACCAACCCAGTACATCAGCGTACAAATCCAGTACATCAGCATACCAATCCAGTACATCGGCATACCAACCCAGTACATCAGCGTACAAATCCAGTACTTCGGCGTACCAATCCAGTACATCGTTGTATCAACCAAGCCCGTTGTCATATAATTCTCGCACATCATCAATGCAATCGTCTAATGCCAGTACGACCTCTTCCTTGTTTCAAACCAGCACAAATGCCCAGTCTACCAATTCATCTCTTGCATTTTCGACACCCAAAGCTCCACCAAAGAAGCCTGATACCTGTGTCATTTCCTAATTAGGAAGCTAAAATGCATCAGGGTGAACATCCATAGCTAAGGTCGCAGTAGCAGATTTAGCTTCTTTAGGATTTTAGATTTATTTTTTATATTTTTTCATTAGCACAATCTGAAAATGAGCCTTCAGAGAAAGAGTTTGGAAAAAAAATCTTGTATCTTAAATCTTTTCTTGCAAGTTTGAGCTATTATTGAATTATCTTCGGTCGTTTCGTCCACATAAAAACAAATCAACAACTATTTACAACACTAAACTTCTAAGATGTCCCTTTATGGTCAGTCGACCTAGTTCGTCAGGTTTCAGAGTGTGGTACTTGTTATCTATGGTACGGCAATCAATTCACCACTGTTTTAAACTCTAGATTTATTTAGGAACCCATGGAAAGTTTCCAACTTAAAAAAATCCCTGGAGTTTTGGGACCCAACTGCCACAAATGTCTGAAGAAAGGGGATTTAAAACCCAAAATACTTAAAGTCATTCATGTGTTGAACTGACGATGACTCATGGAGAATCTTTAGCTCGTATAGTGATATCACTACTGACGACGGGTATTGTATATTTAAGGTACTTTCTTTGTTGTGGCCAGTTATTACTCAGGTTTTATGTTGAAACCACTCAGAAAAGCAATCAATTAAATTGTCTTGGTGTTTCACAGAATCCTTAAGCCACGAAGCCTTGATCGGCATATAGACGTACAATAATGCACTGTATCACCGAGGTACATCGTTGCCCACCGGTAGATCTTTTATTGGATCTACATAGGTGGAACGGGCCTCGTCAGATCCAGTTTTAACGCCGTTGTCTCCCGTCTCGACTTCCTAAAGCCGGCGTACATTTAAAGAACGTAACGGTTGACGAGTCGCGGGTGCAGCGGCGGAACATCGAACAAGTCTTGATCGTAAAAGAAAAAGACTCAAGATGGTTGATTATTCAGATCACACAACAAGTCGGGATTTATTTTTCCAATTTGCTCGATTTGTGTTGGACTGAACTCAACCATCTGTTAACGCGACACGTGTGACGTCATCGGGAAGGAGTCGGACGAAAACTTAACGTCACAATCGTGAATCACACGAAGTATTTCTAAAGCTTACGTAGAAAATACAAATAAAACTTTACGTTTAGAGGTTCTGAAGAGTAGTTTGTGTCGCACAGATTAAGACAGCAAAACTATTCAGATGTAAACGGCGATAACATGAAGAAGATAAAAGGACAAACTTTGACCTTTTCTTCCACCGGCCACTAGAGGGCGACAAAACCGCTTGTTTTTAACCACAAATCTACTTTATATAAACGAGTTTCTCTTATGATTGATGATTATTTTCACGTGAGGTTTAAGTTGAAGGGAAACTAATCGTTTAAAAAAAACATAATTTCAGTTGTTTTTGTTCCATTTTTTGTCTTTTAACTCGAACCATTTGTTCCGTTAGCTTCCATTGAAGCTGCAATCCTCCTTTAAACAAAAATCAAAGTGTTATGATCTACTTGAATTGGAGAATCTATAAAAATTGCACTAAATAGTCCGATCAGGATGTATATCTACAAATGTATTACTGATTTATTTTATTTTTTTCTTGTTTGCACAATCGTGAAAATCAGTTCTTGCTGCTTTAAAGGTACGTTACGGTTTAATTAAATTATCCCTTTTAGCCAAAAATGGACCGGTCCATAGTTGCTGGTTAGTTTTTTTACAAGAACAGTTTGTGAATTTTGTGAATCGGGATTTGACGGGGTTTTATCTAGTTCTGTTTTTTAATCTGATACCAAAGATGTGATTTATTTTACTCTGTTCTGTCTTTACTAAATAAAGTTGTTTCAATGTTAAATGTTGTGTTTTGATTCTGAGCCGTTTATTCCCCTCTGCCTCGTTGGCGTAAACAAAAAAACCCAATTGGGTCTTAATGTACATTAGACACCGTCTCCCAGCGGGGAGATGGATCCGTCTGTCGTGTCCTCTGCATCCATTTATCTGCTTCGTTAAGCCTCGGCTGCTCGTTCTGCTGGACGTGCAGCTGCGCCCTGCAGGTTCTAACAGCARCGGTAAATATTCTCTGACATTAACCAGCCTAAGGAGCCACTTCCTGTCTGCTGAGCGTCGCCGTTGCCTCCCCCAGTGGACCGAGCAGATTCCCTCAGGCTGCCAGGAGCTTCCCGGCCGTAGCTTTTCCCCCCAAAGCTTATGAATTAAATACAAGTCGGTTCCATTTAAGCCCCGCCTCCTGCCGGTATTTCTGCTGAGTCACTGGGTTTTAGCTCTGATGATGAGGAGGTTCAAACAGATCTGATCAGCTGATACCAACAGATTGATGAAGCATCTGTTGATCAGTGGATTACTTCTGACCTCTGGTTCTTCATGACCAAACGTCTCCAGCACCTTCAGGACAGTGTCTCAACTGTCCAACAATCTGGACCATTCCAGGACCTTTAATTGGTTTTCATTAAACCAGTGGAAAGCTGTTTCAGATGTGGGTTTAGGCTCATAATCCTGCTGTAAGGTGGACCTCCATCCGGGTCTCAAACCCCTCCAGAAGAGTTTAGGTTYGTTTGTCTTTCCTTCAGCTCTGACCTGATCCTGTGGATAAAAACCAGACCCACATCATGATTCTGCTACCGCCGTGCATCACTGTGATTTCAACACCAGAGGGTTCAGTTTCATCTGACTGTAGCAACATGTTCAGTAGCTGCAGTTTACAGGTGTGGTAGCTTTAGCTTTTAGCTGCAGTTTACAGGTGTGGTAGCTTTAGCTTTTAGCTGCAGTTTACAGGCATACATTTTAGCTTTTAGCTGCAGTTTACAGGTGTACATTTTAGCTTTTAGCTGCAGTTTACAGGTGTGGTAGCTTTGGCTTTTAGCTGCAGTTTACAGTTGTACATTTTAGCTTTTAGCTGCAGTTTACAGGTGTGGTAGCTTTAGCTTTTAGCTGCAGTTTACACGTGTACATTTTAGCTTTTAGCTGCAGTTTACAGGTGTGGTAGCTTTAGCTTTTAGCTGCAGTTTACAGGTGTTGTACCTTTTAGCTTTTAGCTACATTTTAACTACAAGTGTGGTAGCTTTTAGATATAGTGTAAC